TTTTGTTTTTATTTTTATTTTTTGCGTAACTGGGAATTGAACTCAGGCCCCTGTGCTTGCCAGGCAAGCGCTTATTCTACTGAGCTATCTCTCCGGCCTGAGGTGCAACTTTTAAATGACTCAGCTCTGGTTTTTGTCTTTTTGAGACAGAGTCTCACTATGCAGAGAACTCAGGCTTGCCGTGAGCTCACTTTGTAGCCCAGGATAATCTTGAACTCCCAATGATCCTCTGCTTTTGTAGCAGGAAAACAGATATAGGCGAAATAGCAAATAAAGAGGCAGGCAAAGTTCCAATGGACTTTCCCTTACAGACGCAAGCAGGGCATTTGCCTGGGGGCTGTAGCCTGCTGATCCTTGGTCTAGAAACAAAACATAGGGACCGGGGAGATGGCTCAATGGAATAAGTGCTTCCCTGGCAAGCACAAGGCTCTGAGTCCAATCCCTGGTTCCATCAAAAAAAAAAAAAAGAAACAAAACACAGGTCAGTCCCTTGAGGAGCTTTGTTATGGACCAAAGTTTGGTTAGGTCTGCACTTCAGCAAATTAATAGCAGCAATCACGATAATAATAACTACTAAGCAATCCTCTATGCAGAGCACTGCATTTCTGTTATTATGTTTAGCTCTCTCGTAAGTCAGCTAGGTTAAGGACTAATATTCCCATTTTATGGATGAGCACACCAAGCTCAGACAGGGAAGCAGTATGCACAGAGCTGTGCCTTTTAAGACTCCAACCTGTGCCCTTTCTGTGGCAGTCCTAACTGAGCACACTAGGAACTCCAGGAAAAAAGAACGGCCTTGGGCTTATTGCAAACATCCTGCCCCCTTCTGCTTCATGCCTGGGCCCCTCTCTGGAGCGGGAGCCAACTGGTGCTTTCACAGTAGCACTGGATGAGCCACTCGAGCTCAAGTGTGTTGCCGTTTTTTGCTAGTCCTCTGCTTAGCTGCATGCATCTGTGTGCAAGTTACCCAGCGCTCTGTTTTGTTCACCCTTGAAATGGGTATAAAGCTAAGAATTGTGGCACACACCTGTGATCTCAGCACAGTGGCAGGAGGACGCGGGAGGATCTCAAGTTCAAGTCAGCCTGGGAAATTAGCAACTTAGTGAGATTCTATGTTGAAATAAATAAATAATAAAGGTCTGGGGAGGTAGTTCATTGTGAGGGTCTTGGATTCAATCCTCCGTACAACAATCAGCACGGGTATACAGTACAAGCTAATCACTATTATTTTTATGATTATTATCTTTATTATTTCAGTTTGTTATTAGTAACAAGCCGTCTGTCCAGGTGACTGTAAGACTCCATTCCCTGGGGAAGAAAACCAGCCTCAGTGGCAGAAAAGCCTCATTACTTTGCTTGCAATTCTCTGACCATGGCCTGATCTTCTAAAAGGGCATGTTTCTATATTTATCACGCTCTTTCTTGGAGTTTTTTGAACAAGAACGCCAAGTTCCTTTCAGGCAGGGGGTGCTCGACTCTAGATGTCTGAGGGCATTCCTGAGCTTTGTTTACTGTGAAGGAAAGAGCGGTGGGCACATGACAGGGTTTCCAAGCGAGCCATGCTTTAGCGGAAGCTACAGTGCCCCCAGGACGCAGGGGGCTGGAATACAGATGCTGCCACCCAGGAGCTCCAGGCTGAGGCTCTGGCTCCTTTCTCTAATGATGAAGGTCCTCTGTAGCAGGGGTGACAATGGCCTCTGCCAATGCGGGAGTTCCTTTCCTTTTCTCCTTTTGAGGGGTTTCCTTTGCAGCCCTTCCTGCTCTGCCAAGCCTCTCCACATGCACAGTGGAGAGTCAAAACATCCCCAAGTTCATTCCCAGGTAACATGGGCTTGAGGAGACTTCTGGGTAGCTCACTCCATGCCACCAAAAACAGTCCTAAAAGACACTAGGTCCTAGAGAAAGGTAAGGGTGAGTTATAGGATTAAACTCTGCTATGCGTTTTGCACAAGCAGAGGCTCGACCCCAGTATGGCTCTGGGTTTGATGGGGAAAGCCTGATTTGGGCAAGAAATGCTGGTTAATGTTTTACCCTACCAGAGTGGAGCACCCCACTCCCAGCCTTTCCAAGTTCACCAGCTGTGCAGCAAGGTGGAGAGGAGGAGGAAACAGAGTCCCTCCTCTCCGGGGCCCCAGGCTGGCGGGGAGGAACAGAGTTGGTGATGAGGAGTGGGAGGAGCCTGCCTTTCAGGGTAGGTTCTGAAAGTTGAGGCACCTTCTGCCCTTCTGCTTCTGTGATCCTCAGAACAGTAAATTGCCAGGCTGTGCAGAGACAGCTGTGAAGGTAATAACAGCTCTATAGCTCGCTACTCCTTCGGGTTCACAGAGCGCTGCAGTTCCTGAACCTGGTGGCTCATCAGATTTCCCTTAAAATGTAACACAACGAAAACACATATTTGGGGACCTTGTTGGCAGTCAGTGGTTCTCAACCAGGGACAAGTTTGCCTCTAAGGCACATTTGGTAATGTCTGGAGACATATTTGGTTATCACAGTTGGAAAGTGCTACTGGTGCCTACTGGGCGGAGGACAGGGACACTGTCAAACACCGCACAGTACACAGGATAGGCTTGCAGCACAGAAGGATCTGACTACAATGTCAGGAGTTGAAAAAATGTCCTTGATGTATTCACGCTTATAGTTAGAAATATTTTTGACAAATATCTCAAAGTAGTTTTTTTTTTTTTAAAAAAATCCATATTGGGGAATGAACTTAAGACCTTCACACTGAGCTTTTTCTATGTATTCTTTATTTTAAGATAGGTTCTTGCTAAGTGGCACAGTTCCCCTCACAGCATTTGAACTTAGGATCCTCCTGTGTCAGCCTACCCAGAGCCCTAAGATTACAGGCATGTGCCACTACACCCAGTTTCCAGGGAATTCCAATTGGAAGGAAGTATGGAGAAGTGAATAAGAAAGGCCCCTGGAAACAGACAACTGGGCCACATGCCCCTGAGGAGGGTTTCTGAATTTTCTACTCTTCAGCTTCTCTATCTTTGAGACAGAATAATAGGATATATTCTGAGGCTGTTGCAGAGTTAATGAGGCTCCAGAGACAAAATGGTTAGAACCATAGTCTAGAATCCAATTTCAACACCCAAGGAATCTGCTATCTGTTCAGCACATGGAGAATGTCTCCTACTCCTGGCATGGAACACATAGGTGCAGTTAGTGCTGGCTGTTGTGGATGTTGTTGTTATTATTATTATTAATTACCAACAGCTCGAGTGGGGCAGTGAAAAATTACAAGATCCACAGGCATGGCTCTGGCTACCTGCAGCTATGTGCAGGAGAGGAAGGCTGTGGGCTGCAGGGCAGAGGGCCTTACCTGGAAGCGGTGGAAATCCTGAGGCTTGAAGTCATTGGGAGAACAGCCACACCAGTCCACAATGTGCTTGTACTGGCACTTGCAGCCCAGCTTGCGGTTCCAGTTGGTGATACGCAAGTTGTTGTCTACCATGGTGTCACAGTGGGGGCTGTTCTCCAGGACTGTGTGGAAGAATGACTGCAGGGAGAAAAAGGGGCCAGCCTGAAAGCTCTCCCAGCTTTCTCTGAGTACCCTGGGCTTGTGGCCCTCCTGGTTTCCTCTGCCTATGAAAGCGTTCCAGGACCCCATCTGTTCTGCATAGGCCGAGAGGTGAGTGCCACATGGCCCATTATGGTGTTGCTGCATGCTGTGTCCAGGGTGGCCAAATTCTTCCTGTGCTGACGGCTGTCTCACTCAGACTCAGACTCTGATTTCAATACATCTCTTACCACACAGGCTATCTGCAGGTTTTCCAGCAGATGGAAAGTCTCTTGGGTCATGTCAACACACACATACATATCAAATATGGAGAATGTTTCCAGGACACCAAAGGCTAAAAGGGCCCTTGGTTTGCAGAGAGCCACATTTGAAATTAAAGAGCTTCAGATCTGAGATAGCTTGGTGAAAATGGCTGATGTGCTGGAATTTTACCCCTGGGTGAGGGAGGCTAGATCCATGGATCCACCAAGCCCGGATTTGCAAGGGATCCCGGGCCCTCGCTCACCTTGGTCGCTCACAGTGTGACCACTACTCAGAGAAGCCAGGCCTGTGTGCTGACCCTGGTCTTAAAATAGGCAAGGGGAGGCTATGGTGGTTCGCTGTCCGTGGTTCTGAAGTAGTAGACCTCATACCTCACAGTACGACTACAACAAGGAAAGGGAGGGCTGCTTGTTGTCTTCAATGCCAAACCAGCTTAGATTGTTTGTCCCTAATCCTACAGTCCTTGATCAGCCTCTCAAAAGCATCTGAGAAGAAGTCAGTGCTGAGGGCAAAGAGGAACCAGAGAGGAGACACAATGGTCAGAGCAGAGCTGCTAGTGTGACAGAGGATGATGATGAGGAGGAGGAGAAGGGGGTGGAGGAGGTAGAGAAATTTTCATTTTACCCCTACCTTTCAGAAATCTCAGCCACCAGAAGAATATATTCTCCTCTGCTCTTTGGTCTCTAAGGAAAGATGTTAGGGGATAGGTGTCCATTACAAATTTATGGGCAGCTTTCAGATTTCTTCCAGTCTAGTCTGCTGGAGGCATCTAGGTGCAGGAAGGGCAGAGCAGCAATGCAGAAAGACAGCCTGCAAGACACCCTAGGCATGTATGCATGTGTGTGTCGGGGCAGGGGAGGTACAGAAAGTGCACACAAAGCTGTGCCCAGCTGTCCTGTTGTAGGCATCCTTGAGGAAAATGACCAAACTCCCAACAATCTCATCTAAGTGAGAGGCTGGGCAAGATGAAGCTCTACCCACCATACCCAGCTGGTCTTCCTGTAATGCCAAGTGACCCGTCAGAGGACCTGGATGTAAGTTTGGGTCATCTGTGAGCCTACAGAGGTGCCTATTTGCTATCCAGCAGTGGCAGTGAGGACCCAATTACCGATTGCCCTGTGTTCTTCCATAATGATGCAGAGATTCCCCGTGAGATAATGGTTGAGGAGGTTATCAGAATTGAAAGAAAGGTGATTTTTACTGGAACAGGATTAAAGGCTGATTACTTAACATGTGTTTAAAATAGCAAACCCTGGCCTGATGATGACAAAAGCATCATTATCCCTTTGGAATGAGGTGGACATCCAGGCCTCTCTGGAGCTGGACACTGCCTTACATACTGGTGAGGGATGTGGGTCTGATCAGAGAAGATGCACTGTCAGGGCCAGGCTTCAGAAACACATGGCCCATGTGAGCTGGAGGTGGGGGCCCTCCAGGGAGAAAGAGTGGACCATTCACGAGAAATTTCATAGGCTCTATCAGAATGAAACAAGCTTTGGGGTTTTCTGACTTCAGGAACTAGAAGGAAAGTAATTTGGACATAGGGGGAGATGATTTGACAAGAACGCCGCTGGCATTTTGGCAGGAACCCTTCAGAACTAGACCCATGTTGTTTCCAGAAGGCCTGGCAATGCTATGCTACCTCACACAGTAGGGCTTCCCACCCTGAGGTCTGAAAAGTGCTTGCACGCTCCCTGTGATTCTTCCTAATACTCTCAGTGGGGCTGAATATCTTGAGCTGTTTTTTTCTATGTTGTCCAAAAACCCCGTGCAAGGTACTGTTAGCGTCTGTGCACATGGCCTCCGTGCGGACTGCAGAGGGACAAGAGCACCGTAGGTCAGCACAGCCAAACATTCAGTCTCCTCCCCTGGGCCAGTGCGAGCTCCAACTTTAGGGAAGCTCTCCTGGAACTCACCTCAGCGGGAAGCAGGGTGTAAGCGTAGAACTGTTTCATCTTGGTTACCAGGTCATCCGTGGAAAATGTCACATACTCTACAAACTTCCGGTTCAGCAGGAACCAATCAGAGCCACCGTCGACAGCAATGCCTTCAGGGATACGCCGGTCCCCCAGACGCCACATGTGGGCATCGCACTCCAGGAAAAGCCTGTCTAGGCCTTGTTTCCGGATGAACCTGGAAGAAGAAGGTAGCCCTGAGCCCCACAGAGGCCTGAAAGTGACTCTGCTTAGAGCCCAAATGATGCCACCGCTGCAATAACAACACTGACTGAGACCTTGCTCTGTGCCAGGTAGGGAGACAAGCATCACTGTCATCAAACTGTTAGAGCAAAGGGACTCGATCGTTGCCATCAGACGGCAGCGAGTGTCCACTAGATCTTCGTACTTCCTCATCAGTGCGCCTTTCAAGGCACTTTCATACCATTGCTGCTGCTGGTGGGGAGGGAGAGGGGCTCTCAGAATAGTGCTCCAAAATGCACAAGGCAAAGCGTGCAGCAAACGGCATCAACGTTAGGATAGAGCGATGTGTGTTTTTCTTCACACGTTACACATGGGATTATAAAGTATTTTGGAAAACACAAAATTTATGTTGTCTCATGTGTTTCTTTAACCATTTATTTATTTATTTACTTGGTACAGGGTCTCGCTGCACAGCTCAGAGTCATAGTGATCTTCCTGTCTCAGCCTCCCCAACGCTGGGATTACAGGCATGCGGTTTTGGTGACTGACTTGGCATAGGGCTAGCACAGCATATGGTACAGGGGATTGAGTTTGGGTCCTTGCACTTGCCAGGCAGGCACTCAGACTGCCGAGCTAGCTCCCTGGCGCTCGCCTGTTTCTTTTTAATACTTTAAACAACACAAGTCTAACAACTGACGCATTTTTTGGAGTGAGGGCGAGCATAAATACCATCTGGAGGTAAATGCAACAAATGTAATGTGACAGGAAAGTGAAGTGACTTTTTCTTTGGCGCGTGTGTGTATGTGCATGATGTTAGAGATTGAATCCATCGGTGCTCTACTGCTGAGCTACATTCCTAGCCTTATTGATTGATTGACTGATTGACTGGGTCTTGTTAATTGCCCACACTGGCTTTGAATTTGCAATCCTGCCTCAGCTTCCCAAGTAGCTATAATTACAAGCATATTCCACTAAGCCTGGCTGAAAGCATGTGATTATGTTTGGTGACAAATTTGGTTACTATTAACACTACCATCGTTTGTTACCTACCTTTAGTTATATTTCATCTAGAATTTGGAGGAAATAAGGATATCATCTTCCTTCCTAGGTCATGGGCCCTCTCCCCTGCATTCTCCATATAAACCCCCCAGATTAGTACTTCCTGTGTGAGTAATATTAAGTAGATTTATATATAATAATTGTATTTATGATTGTGCCAGGAAGCAGATTTTCCACTCCGTGATGCAGAAAGGTCACAGAGGTGCGGAGTGGAGGATGGACATTGCAAGAACCAATACTGCTCAAACTCTCGAGTTCACTGGGGCCACATAGATGCACACTGCTGTGTACGGGCACCATGATGGGCTCTGACAGGGTCCAGGAGAGAAGAAAATCTCTGTGCCACAGAGCCAGTTATCTGGTGAGGAGATTACAGCCCAGGGACCTGTTGTCTCTCCAACCTGCTCAGCCACACACCTTTCCAGGAATCTGGATTATTTTTCAATTCCTTACACATGAAGTGTTTTATGAATGCTTCTCTGTATTTCTATCGCCATAACCTCCTTATTCCACATATGACCGTCATGTACCTGCTTCTAGTCAGGGACTTTGTAACTGCCTGGAAGGCTCACCCTCAGTGAGGTGGGTGACGTCAAAAAGTGAGGCATCCTGAGTCTGTTACCCCCTTGCTATAATTGAAAAGTCAGGGTAGGCCTGGGAGCCGTGCCATAAGGTCCTTTGCCCACAGAGGTCAGCTAGGCAATGGACATTGTGAATCAGGTTTGAAGATAAGGTACTGGGGAGGGGTGGCTCTGCCTGCAGAGAAGGAGAAATGCACATCTTGAGAGGCGCTCACATTCCTTTAACAAGGTGGCTCTGGCAAAAACAGAAATCTCAGGCTGAACCCAGCCCATAGGTCTGCAGTCATAGCTCCAGCTGTGACCTATATGCCACCCCATGACACCTATGGAGCGGTCCCAGGGCAAGCACCACATCACACTTGCGTACCACGCAGCCCAGAGGAGGTTGAAGGCTTTCCCAAGGACACACAGCAGACTCACACAACGGTAAACCCAAGCAGAAGATGCAGGTGTCCAATGTTTCTGGCCTTCTTTCTTTGACACATCTCTCCATATGCAAAATCCAAGCTCCTTAGCAAGTTAAGTTCTAGATTCAGGAGGGAGCTGAGTGAAGGGTTTTCCTTATAGCCACATTATCACATGAAGACAGGACTGGGCCGCGGCGGGAAGGGCCCTGAGTCTAGGAGAATGAAATCCTGCTTCAGGTCTCCCTGGTACAAATTCTGTAAGTGTCCAGTTAGTGCAGAGGACTGTAATTGAAACTTTAAATTTTAGAAAACTTATATGAAAAGTTACATGGAGACCAGACTGGGTGGAAGGGAAAAACAAAATATAGGTGAGGAGACTAACAAATTTTGCCTTCTATAGCGCAGCTTTTTAATTTCATGTTCCATTATATGAGAAAGAGTATGGTTTTGCAATATTAATGTGATGTTCCAGGCCATGATATTCAAATACAATATTTATGCAGTCATCTCCAAGATAAAATATTCATGGCAATGGGAGATTGGTCTCTATAATTACTGCATTCAAAACTGATAAGCTTCAAATATATGCTTTGGTTTATTATGAGTAAGTAGAGACATCCAGTTCTCCAGAACTCAGAAAAGATTTTGGGGTCACACAAAACTTAGTTTCAGCCAGAGAGAAGGTGGCAGACCTCCAGAGTATGGGCACCAACTAGCAGAGCAGAATCAGTTGCTTGACCTGGATTTACATTTTTAGAGATGCCTGGTCACTTACTGTCACTTGAAAAGGGGAAACTGGAAGACAAGGCCAGTCAGCAAAGATACACCGGGGCGCACCTCCTCATGGATGCTGGCTTGGTCCCCTGAGGACTGGAGCACGTTTGCAACAGTGGGCCCAGCACACAGAAGGGCAAAGGTGGGGCCCTCTCCTCTCAGGTGCATCTCCTGTTGGCATTATTATACCCATGGCAAGTGGGCAAACAGATGCCAGCACAGCAGAACAGGTAGTGGACAGCCTTGGGAGCCACCCCTGCCTTTGTTTTGTCACCTTTTTTCAATTTTTTGTACTTTTTCCTCTTTTTAATTTCTTTCTTTTCTTTTCTTTTTTTTTTTTTTTTGGAATTTTTTAGAGAAGGGTCTACAGGGTGTTCAGGGTCTCACTACTAGATCAGACTTGTAGTGATCTGCCTGTTTACAGTCTCCCAAGAGCTGGGATTACAGGCTCGCCACCATGTCCAGTCTCAAATGCCATCTCAGTGTGCCCCATGGGTAGGGCCAGCAGGGCAGGCCCAGAGATCAAACCCTGGCCCCTCCACCTGTTTCTTTTTAATTTCTTATACATTGCTTTCTTTTATTCTTTCTTCTTCCAATTTTGCATGCATATATCTGGTAATATGAATAACTGGCTGGAAGACAACACTATGAATAAAAAAAAAAACGGGAAATTCACGTTACTTTGTTAAGTGAAATTCGATGTCACTTGTCAATTTTTATGTTTTAATATTATTTTGAACTCTCTCTAAAAATATAAATTAAAAAACAGATGTTAGTCACGACATCTCTCATAACCTCACCAAATAAAGTGTGCTGAGGATGGGGATGCTTTGCAAATGGGTGGTGTTTCTCTAGGCAACACACTGATCCAACCATCAGCCCCTTCTTACATAAGGCCAGTGTCCTTCTCCCATCCTGGGCAACCCAGATTCTCTTTTCATGTTTTCTTCTTCTCTGCAGACCTTTACACTTTCTAATAAAATGTGCACAGTCTTTAGTTTATTGTCCATTTTTACTCATGCGTGAGACCTAAGCTCCAAGACGACATATTTTTATTTATTCTGGTTTGCTGCTGTATGCCTACTGCATAGTATAGCATAAGGCAGGTGTTCTAGATGCATTGAATGAATGAATGAATGAATGAATGAATGAATGAAAGCTGTTGAGCAATTGGGAAGTCACAGATATTAGTTAACCATGTATCAGGTTCCTCTAACACTTGTTTGACAAATAATGAAAGTAAACCTCAGACAGATTAAGTCACATAGTGAGAGACCTGAACTTGAACCCACATCTGGATGAATCCAATGCTAGCTCTTCATTCTTCTACTATGGTTTATTGTCTTGATTTACTGGTGTTTCTTCAGAAAGGGTAGAAATGAAGGATCTGAGAATATCTCCTGCCTCAAAGAGACAACACAAAAACCAAGAGAAAAGTCTGTGTTGGCATTGGAGGAAGTTTACTGGGGCTCTGCTAAGAACTTATGTCTTCATGGTAGGCCACCTGCGGTCAAGCATAGAATGATGCACCTTCAGTTTGACTTCCTAGGATTTGAGAAATTGGTGGATTATCTTTCTAAGGATTTTATTCTATTATCTCTGTGTGGGACAAAGTCCCAGCTCCTGATGGCTCTACTGGGAGCCACCAGACCAAGTCTATCCATCAAAGTAAATCAACATAAATCAGCTAGGGGCCCCAATGAGATCAGAGGGGAGGATCCTGACTGCTCCTGTGAGAGAAAAGGGCAGTGAAGAAAGTATCTGTGCCCTTGGAAATGAGGTCAGAGGAGTCAGGCAGTGAAAGAGCTTCTCATTAGTTCCCTGGGCTACAATCCTGGTATATTCATTAAGTGTGGAATTATCCCAGAACTGCCATGGTCTATTAATACTTCTAAAAAGAAATCCGCCACTTATATTTCACAGAAAGTTTGAGCAAGAAGACATATTAGAGTCAACTACTACAACTAATTCTACAATGGAGAAACAAGACAAAGTAACTGAGACGAAGAGACTTTTGTTTATTCTCATTCACTGCTGTATGCCTACTGCAAAGCATACAGCAGGTGCTCTGCATGTAGTAAATGAATGAAGGAACAAAGAGATGGGTAACACAATGGCTGCTGGGCAATTGGGAAGTCACAGGCATTAGTTAACCATGTATTCAAAGTCATGTG